AAATTGCTTAAACTAAGCAAAGAATTCAATTTTAATTTGCATAAAATATTTATCAAGGCTTACGCAAATTTCCGCGCAGCTCCCTTCCTGCCAAGTTGAAAATTGCTCAGACATACAGAGGTGGAATACCGGCATGCGAGGAGGCCATTAGGCCAGCCCTCCCGGCCACTCGAGCTGTGCCGACACCACATGCCCAGCAGCAGGCCAGGCTCTGCCAATTTGGCCTTTTCATATTTTTTTTTTCTTTTTCTTTCGTTCCTTTTTTGCAAACAGATTGTTTTTCTCATTATGTTTTTATATGTACCTAAACTGTTAATTAGGCTCTTAGAAGCTTTTTTATTGGGGCCTAAGTGTAACAAGCTGCTTTGTTCTCAGATCCACACCTTTCGGCTGCTCCATAAACTGGGCTCTCTGTTTCAGCCCAGGGTTATCAGCTGGGAGAAAGGTGCCAGGCCTGACCTGAGGGAACATGGCTCTAGTTCTCCTGGCTGCTTGAGGATGGAGGTCCCAGGGGAGAGGAGGAAGAAGAGGCTGAGGAAGCAAAGCAGACATAGCTGGTGACCTCCCCTGGACACTGAGCCTCTTCTTCAGGAAGCCCCTCGAGGGGCCCAATTCCAGAGAGCAGAGCCATAGCACTTCACAGTAACAGTCAATGTTCTTGATCTCACATTCACACCTGCCCAGGGTCTTCACACCTCTCCTCCCCCCTCTCAGAATGCTCAGTTAAGACCATTGGCGCTCAGCTCTGGCTTCTGAGCCCAGAAGCCTCCTCAAAGAATCCACTCACTCACACACAAACTTTTCTTCACAGCTGTGGCCACCATCAGAACCAACCTGTCCAGACATTTCATTGTCCTCTTCCTCCACTAGGATGAGACCCCCATGGGTGCAGGGATGTCAGTGTGGCTCTGTGTGTCCTCTGACACAGCCTCAAAGGCTCGCATGAGGTCTGTGTACCACAAATGATTAGACAAGAGCCAACCATCACAAAGCCTCAAGTGCCTTTTGTCAGGAAGTGCGCTGAGTGGGGACAGGGCTTGGTCACTTTCTTGAAAGAATGGCAGCTGCTTTGGCTCTGCCAGATGGGCCATCTGTAGGCCAAGAATAAATGAAACGCTGATGTCCACAGAGCAGGCCCAGAGGTGCCAGCCTCTGCCACCCACATGATGTCCTTATTTGCTTTCTGTTGCTGCAATAAACACCATGACCAAAAGCAACCTGGGGAGAAAAGGGTTTATTTCTTCTTACAGTTGACCGTCTACCATGAAAGGAAGTCTGAGCAGAAACTCAAGGCAGGAACCTACAGGCAGGAGCTAAAGCAGAAGCCACAAGGGGTGCTTCTTACAGGCTTGCTCAGCCTGCTTCCTTACAGAGCTCAGGACCACCAGCCCAGGGATGGCACCACTCACAGTGGGCTGGGCTGTCCCTCCCCCATCCATCATTACTGAGAAGACACTTCAGACTTGACCATATGTCAATGTGATGAAGGCATTTTCTCAAATGAGGTTCCCTCCTCACAGAAGATCCTAGCTGTGACAAATTGACAAACATCTAGTCCTCACTCCTGCCCCACTGCAATCAGATATCCAAAGGAACTTTAAGCAAATCCAGCCAACCAGCACTTGGCTACCCAGGTCCCCCACAGGCCACACCATTTTGATCTACTGGGTCCCCCACCATATCAAAGTGGATGATGGAGTGGGAGAGGCAGGTTCATCCCTCTGTATGGAGAAGCACAAATGGGAAGAGTGAATGAAGCCTGCTGAGTAACTAATAAGGAAATAATCATGTTTTACATTACACAAACATGTCTGCACGTCAGACAGAGCACTAGCACGGAGGGCACAGGGAGGATAACGTTGCAGCTCTAGAGAAACTCCAAAGAGATTGTCCAAGGAAATGAATGTCCGGTGTCAGAGATCCTCAACATGTCAATGAGTCAGTGGCTGCACTACTGGTGTGGTCTCTTGGGAGTGTGAAAAGATACAGAAGAGCATCCCAGGACATCCTTGGTGCTCCCCAAGTATGAGCTCCGAAGATAGGCATTAAGACATTAGGGAAGGTAGAGGCAGGGGGATCAGGAATTCAAGATCATCGTCCACTAAATAGTAAGTTGAAGGTCAACTTAACTCGGTGACACCTTGCCTTAAAGGAGGGTGTTGGGCCTGCCAGTGATAGTGTATGCCTTCAATCCCAGCACTCGGGAGGCAGAGGCAGGCGGATCTCTGAATTCGAGGGCAGCCTGGTCTACAAAGCTACACAGAGAAACCCTGTCTAAAAAATTTTTTAAAAAGAGATGTCAGTGGGCTAGGGAGATGGTTTGGTGGGTAAAACACTTGCTGGGCAAGCTTTGAGGACCTGTCTTTGCATCCCTAGCACCTGAGCCAAAGCTGAATGTGACTGCATTGACTTGTAACCCCAACATCTTGGGGGCAGAGTTGGGATCTCTGGGGTTTTCTGGTCTCCAGCTCAACTCCGGGGTCAGGGAGAGACCCCCAAAGCTGAGAGTAGAGCAGGATGGCTTTGTCACTATCAACATCCCCAGTGAACCTCAGAGGGACAGGAACAGCTTCAAATCCCAGCCAAGTCTGAGTAATTGTGTGACCTTGGACATGGCCATTTACCTCTCTGTGTACGTCCCTCCATGTGGGGAAGCCTGGGTTTTCTGTTCAGATGCACTGTCCAGATAGGGGACTGAAGACCCCAGAAACACAGTGACTTGTTGAGCTAACCCAGCCACTAAGCCAGTTGGCCACAAATCTCCATGAAATCGGGGACCTGACCTCCTTTATTTCCCAGCCCAGGGGAGCAGAGGAGAAGGGAAGAAAATGGACAGGGCCCATCAGCATTGCTGGGGGTGGGGCTAGGTGTTGAGTAGATCATGGGCAGAGGTGGAGATGTGGTGAGGAGAGACTCTGACTATGGAATGATAAGCCATTTGTTGCTTCTGGAAAGAGCAAATCAGTGGGCACAGGACGAGGCAAGAGTGGGGTGGAGCACTGTTCCATGCTCCCTATCAGGCTCTTTGAACAGCTTGGGCAGATCTACAGCATCTGCTGATTTACCTGGTGTAACCCCCGCCCGGAGGTCCTGGGGTGCTCTGGGAAACCAGCCCAGACTCAATAGGCATGACCTCCGCCAGGGTAGCCCAGTTGGATCCCACCCTGCCGGCACCTGGGGGCCTGCTTCTAGTCAAGGATATTATCCCTGTGGTCCTGGACTTCCCACCTCAGCAATGAGCTAAGTAGTTTTAGGGAGAGTCAGGCCCCCCACATCTGTCCCAAGCTTTGTGACATCTTTATTTCCACCTGGGGCAAAGGAGGGCCCCTCTTCTCAGCCCCGCTGGGGAGGTGCAGATGGTGGCAGGGTCACCTTGTAAAGAGTTATGGTCCTTGAACGAAGCAGGAAGACAACGCAGCTCTGCAGGCAACAGCCGAGGATAGTAATCTGGACAGACAAGGAATCGATGGGAATTTCTATTTAGGGAGGAAATCGATAGGAATTTCAAGGAAGGAAAGGGGGAATTACCTTTAATTGGAGCATTCGTCTAGCTGGCCCTCGGGTGAGGCCGAGGCTCACCAGGCCTTGGGGGTACAGCCAGGTGGCCCATCCTGCCCTGGCCCCGACTGCTGCACTTTACATCCGAGGGTGTGAGGGGTAGGTATGCTGGGAGTCACACTTCCTTAGCTGGCAGGTGACTTCAGTAGAAACTCCTGCCTCACCAGTGAGGGGCAAATTCTAGCTTGTCAGATGAGGGGAACTGAGAGGTGCCTAGCCCTGTCCCAAGAGCTTTGTAGATTAAATCTGTATTAAACCCCAGGGACAGGCTCTGTTATCTCCATTTTAAGACACAGAGAAGTTGAACTACTTGCCCTTGGTCACACACCTAGGAAATGTTTGAGCTGGATTTTGAAGACTTGCCCACCTAGTACCAAAATCTGGGCTCTGTGCCCCATGGATGGTGTCAGTCCTGCTAGCAGTGCCAGGTACCCCAAATTGTCCATGTCCAGGAAATTCTTCCTGGGAAAAGGAAGGCCTGAGACTGGCACTGCCCATTACCTCCCATACTCCCCTACAACCCCCCAGAAAAAGGCTGCTGACTTCAGGAGAAGGCTCAGGACTCCCAGGTTCCTACCAGACTCCCCCAGAGGGAAGGCCTGACTGCTCACAAGGCTTTTAAAGAGTTGTAGAAGACACACCCCAGAATAGAGAGCTTAACACCACACTCCCACTTGCTTCCCAGGGCCTTCTAGGAGCTTGAGCCTGGGCTCCTGGGAAAGACCTCCTTGGGAGGAGCCCTGTACCTTGCTGACTGCTGGGAGCTTTTCTGTGGAATGAAGTGATGTCATCCTGGAAGCAGACTTGGGGAGCAGAGGGTCAGTCCCTCACTCCCCAAAAAGGGTCCCTTCTATATTTCTTGGCAAGTCATTGGTGTGATAAAACACTAAGATATTAAGACTCTAAAGGGAGGCTGTGGGAACAGGGTGTCTGAGGGAGGGGTCCCCGCTGCCTTTTCATCAAATTGATGCTACAGAGGGGAAAGTGGAACACAGGAGGGGACAACCCCTGACCATCAGCAACCATGGACATTAAGGCCAGAGCCTCCATCTCTCTAACCTACACCCCATTTTTGGGCCAGCCTTCAAGAAGGTGACAGGGAGGGAGAGGAGAGGCCCAAGAGCAGGTAAAAAGCAGTCTTGGGTGGGGTGGGTGGGTATCAGACAGGGAGCATGGATGATTACTGGTGCCTGTGGAGTCCTGGATGCTGAGCCTGGGAACTCAGGCAAGCTGTACTTGTGAGAATGGTCAAGGTAGATCTCTAGGGATGCTGGAGTCACCCTCCCCATGTCCTTAAATACTTCTAGCTCAAACTTTAGGGCACTTACAGAGGAGAGGTTGTGGCAGGGCTGCAGGGCCACAGGGGATTTAAACCTCTCCATAATGGAGCGCATCCTGCCCCGCCGGAAGTGAAGGTGCGGGTCCGGCTGTGGGCTCTGAGAGGCCCCTGCCCGGATGGCAGCAATAGTTCTAGGGGGAGACACCATGAGCTCTGAGCATATCTTCCCCAATCAAACTGAGGACTTAGGTCCACATCAGGGTCCTACAGAAGGAACCGGGGATTGGAGCAGTGAAGAACCTGAGGAAGAGCAGGAGGAAACAGGAGCAGGCCCTGCAGGCTACTCCTACCAGCCCCTCAATCAAGACCCTGAACAGGAAGAGGTGGAGCTGGCACCGGTGGGTGACGGAGAGGATGGAGCTGCTGACATCTAAGACCGGATCTAGACCCTGGGGCTTCATTTGCCAGACCCCCCATTAGAGAGTGAGGATGAAGATGAGGAGGGAGCTGCAGCATTGAGCAGCCACACCTCTATCCCCATGGACCTAGAACACGTGGAGCTGGTGAAAAGGACGATGGCTGGAGTAAGCCTGCCCGCACCAGGGGTCCCTGCCTGGGCTCAGGAAATATCGGATGCTCCATGGGAAGTAGTAGTACAGAAAGCCCTCCAAGCCCGGCAGGCATCCCCTGCCTGGAAGTAACCACACGGAGAGCTGCCCCGTCTCCTCCCTACATTGCAAGCCGGGACCAGCACAGGACTAACACAACTCTGGTTTTAACACCCACCTTCCCATGTCCCTTTCCACATCAAGGCAAATCAGACTCTCAGAGACCCACTTTATTCAGTTCTGTACATATGGGGACATTGGCCCGAGCCCAACCCACCTCAGCATGTATCACTCTGTGGAGAATAAAGCACCCTATGTACACAGCCAAAAAAAAAAAAAAAAAAAAAAAAAAACCTCTCCAAAATGGACTGAAGTTAAGTGACACCATGAGCAAGGGAGCTTGAACACCCTGCCACAGCTTCACCTTCTCCAATCGCCTGTGAGACGAGAACCAGTCCTTCTATAAGCCATGCCTAAAGATGTCTGCTAAAGGAGTGACTAGATTTTTGGATGGACGGATGGATGGATGGACAGACACATGATGAGTATAATTGGTGGATGAAATAATGACTTCATCTCTCTCTGGCTAGCCTTGCTTAGAAGATCAAACTTTCAAACCCAATACCAAGACACACGAATTCCAAGGCATATGCCCCTCCCTCTGCTCCAGGAGACACCTCCACCCAGGCAAGGGCAGGCCATACATGGCCAGGGTGTGGCAGGGCATTTCCATCCTTGGCAGGCCATTCCCACCCTTATGAATGGGCAGTCTCCCCCCCTTCTATGTCCCTCAACCCTCACACATGGGCCAAGAGTCAAGTCAAGTGGTGACACAATGGAGTTCAAGTTCTGGGGGATGCCATCCTGACTTGGGGATGCCAATTTGTCCACACCACTGGCGTACCAGTGGTGGGCACCGAACACTATGGAGCATTCTTTCTCTAGAGTTCTTTCTCTAGAACACTACTACAGCATTCTCCACCAGACAGATATTGTGACTGCATGGGGTGGGGGATGTGAGACAAGGGCTAGAAGCATTTTATCCTCTGCAAAGCCACTGATATGGCTTCTCCTGTGCCCTCCACACTACCCTGCCTGGCTGTGGCTGGTATTGAGTGTCCAGCCATGCTGCCCTTAGGGGTCTGTCCATTCTTCCACCCCTCTCACCCCATCAGCCAGCCCTGCATCCCTGTGCACTCCTAGGTCAGGGGCTCTGTGGGCTCAGCTGGAGCTGAAGGTTATTGGAATCCCCGGGCCCTGCTCATCTCATTACTTCCAGAGCAGGGTCAGCAGCTTTTACAGACCCCATAAAACATCGCTCTTGGTCACTTGAGCACACCGAAGGCGCAGGCAGCCTGTCCATTCCCAGCCAGGACAAGCCTCTCCTTAACGAAGTAATCTCCCAGACTCATAAACCCCAGAAATGTCACGGGTGGCCTGTGCCCTAAAGATAATTCCAGGGTGACACCAGGCCCCACAGGTTTGTAAGATGAGGCAGACACTGCTCAGCAGAGGTTCCATGGCTCATCCTCTGAGCCCTCAAACAAACCTAGAAAGTATATGCCACTAGCTAGCCCCATAGCACAGATGTGGGGCGGGTTGGGGAGCTGGGCAACAGAGCTGGAATTTGAACCCAGAGCCCCCCACACCACTCCCTGGTGCCCTACAGTGTCCCCTGTAGGAGGCACCAACACTCCAATGAGCAGAGCTTCCAGGCCCATTTTCAGATGGCACAGTCTCTTCTTACCCCAAAGGAGTCACCAGAGGGCATCTCAGCTGACCATTGAGTCCAAGCCTCTTGCTGCCTCTAAGACTGACCCACACTCCAGCCCACTGTGAAGGGGCCATCCCAAGCCCCACACTCCAGGTACCAGAACCCAAATCAGAGAATGGGTCATTTTTGGTCCTCAGCTGGGAGCTGTGGTCTAGCTCTGGGCCTGGCGAGTGTCCCTGCTGGTCTAGTTGGAGTTGGGGCTCCCCATTTTGCAACTGTGCTAGCCCCCCATGAGCCTTTCTTCTTGCCTGTAATGTGGGAGCAGCCACAAGGAACCAACAAAGGAACATCACACCTCCAAACCTGGAGCCAGCATTGCAGTAAGATGTACATGGTCCCACCCCACCAGGCCCTCGCTCCTCTCCCCCAGCTCCCAACCTCCCAATGCCACCATGGATACTACCCCACAGGGCATATCCTTAGGCCTCTTCCTATACCCCATAGCTACCACCATCCCTGACAGATGTGTGCAATGCCCCATACATGCATCCCTGATCAGGCTAGGCATGCACAGACCCAGCTTTTAGAGATTTCAAAGCCAGATCTCACCATTTTGGGGAGTGCATCTGACATTTTGGGGGAGGTGCATTTGCTCCTACTAGGAGCAAAGTAGGGAGGCAGACCAAGGGGGGTTCTGGGTGGGCCCTCTCCTAGTAAATATATGTGAGTACACAAGTGTGCATATTTGCACTTGAGTGGTTTAGGTCAGGTTTCAGGGACAGAATGCCTCTTCCCAACTGTTGAAATTCCCCAGTCCTCATCCTCTGCCCTGCCTTGTGTTTCCTGGCAGGATTCTACCCCACCTTACACCCAGAAGATGGGCAGCACCCCATCTCTGGTTCCCTTCCTGGCTTGGAAGGCTTTAGAGACTCAGATATGACTCAAAGGCCATCTCTTCCCTTCCTTCCTCCTCCTCCTCCTGCAAAACCTGGTCAGGGATGGAGTAGCAGGGTGGTGCATGGGAGGGCACTGCACACATCTGGCAGGGCAGGTGGAAGCTGTGTGCTGTAAAAAAGTGTCTGTGGGCATATGGGAACACACAGACATCCACATCCAAGGCTGCAGGAAATCTTTGTAGTCTTGTATTCTTGTATGACATGCACGTACACACATGGGTGAGCACACGGTGACTCGACTCGGAGGCCTGCAAACTCCCCCTCTCACCTGTCCACCACACATCAAGAGGCCAGCAACCCAACCCCGTCCAGCAGATGAGAAGACACCAGAGTGCTGCCGTGCTGACAACCCTCCATGTCTTCAAGGAGGAGCAAGGCTGTGCCCAGCTCTGAGAAGTCCCCTGAAACCCCTCAAGCACCAGGGTCACGTATTGCCTGTGCCCAAGAACCTGGCCCTGCAGCATCTACCCAGGGCTTCAGGAACTGGAGCCCCCAGAGTGAGAGCACCCCTGGCCTGGCTGAGTGGCCTTCCTACAAAGCAGAAAATGAGCTTCTAGGACAGTGGGTAGTAGGGGAACCTCAACAAAAGAAGAAAAAGAGAAACCCTGGGAGAAGGGAATGGAGAAAGAAGGATGTCAGGCAGCTGTGGGGAGGAGGCAAGGGGAGGGCCCCAGAAATGGGAGGACCACCACCACCAGATGCCACAAGGAATTCCAGCCATGTTTCAGGGCTTATAGATGCTCTTACTTGCTGTGCCGTTCCTGTGCTCATAGTCACACCAAATGCTGAGTGTGTGTTTGTTGGTTGAATGGATGAAGCCCTAGCTCTGCATCTTCACCTCCAGCCCGACCCTCCTTCCCTCCCAGGGTGCTTGCTGGGCTGGCCTCCTTGGGGCAGAAGGCCTAGAGTTAGCTCCCTGCTGTTCACTGATTGACATGTAGCCTGCAAGGTATCTGCCTCAGTTTAACCCAGGATCATCTAGTCCTTGCCAATAATGCTGCTAGGTGTTGTGTTGTTTTACTCTTTCGGCTTTTTGGGGAGCCCACTACCTAGCTCCCAAATAAGTCACACACAGAGACTTATTCTTAGTTATGAATATCTGGCCTTAGCCCGGCAGATTTCTTTTCTTTTTTTTATTTGATATATACTCTTTATACATACTAGTTATATATTTCTTTCTTTTTTGCCTTTTTTTTTTTTTTTGATCCAGAAAGCTTGACTTGTTTCTAGCCAGCTTTTCTTATCTTAAATTTTCCCATCTACATTTTCCCTCTGGGTGTTTATCTTTCTTACTTCTGTATATCTTACTTTCTTTCTTACTCTGTGGTTGGCTGGGGGGCTGGGTGACTGGCCCCTGATGCCCTCCTTCCCTTGTTTTCTTGCTCTCCTCTTCATCGTCTTTCCTTCTATTTGTTCTCTCTGCCTGCCAGCCCCACCTATCCTTGCTCCTGCCTCCCTGTTGGCCATTGAGCTCTTTAGTAGACCATCAGGTGTTAGACAGGCAAAGAATCACAGCTTCTCAGGGTTAAACAAATGCAGCATAAACAAAAGTCACACACCTGAAAATAATGTTCTACCACAGCCAGGAGTCTCGGTAGGAAATCCTGATGATCCTCTGGGATGGAGGCTGCACCGTGAGTGTGTGTGTGTGTGTGTGTGTGTGTGTGTGTGTGTGTGTGTACATGTGTGTGTTCTCGTATATCTGTTTGTGAATACAGGCTTGTACACATATGCATGGAGATCAGCCAACAAACTCGAGTGTCTGTCCTTGTGATGGTTTGAATGCAAATGTTCCCCAGAGGTGAACTGATTTGAGTGCTTAGTCATCAGGAAGTGGCACTATTTGAAAAGGGTTAGGAGGTGTGGCCTTGTTGGAGGAAGTGTGTCATTGGGGGTGGGCTTTGAAGTTTCAGAAGCCCATTCCAGGCCTAGAGTTTTCTCTCCGCCTGCAGATCAGAATGTCCCTCTTAACTGCTTCTCCAGCACCATGCCTGCATGCCTGCTGCCATGCTTCATGCTGTGATAACAAGCTAATCTCTGAAACTCTAAGCCAGCCCCTTTTAAATGCTATCTTTCCTAGGAGTTGCCATGGTTCTCTTCACAGCAACAGAACAGTGACTAAGATAGTCCTTGCCTCCCACCTTGTTTGAGAGTATATTGCTGTTTACCCTGCACACATACACCAGGTGGCTGGCCCTTGAAATTCCCATCTCCACATGGAAAATTCCCATCTCCCTGTAAGAGTGCTGGGGTTATAGTCACCTAAGCTACTGTGTCCAGCTTTCCCTGGGCATCTAAATTCAGGTCATCAGTTTTTGTGTGGCAAAAGATTTTATCTACTGAATCATCCTCTTGCCTCCCAATGGGTTCTTTAAAAGGACCAGGAGGAGGCAGGGGCAGCTAGCCTCTGTAATATGAAATATGTGGGCTCTTTGAACACACATCTTTGCAGTGTTACCTAGTACCTTCTCCAATGGGAAAGTGACATCTCATCCTACCTGGTAGATTTGTACCAACTGGGGGCTTGCCCTGACCAGTGGGAGGGGCAGA